ATAAATCCAATACTTTTTGATGCATTAACAAAGTTGAGTGCTCAGATAAGGCCACATTATCATGGCCATGGTCAGCAACTACTACGTATTAATTAGTACCCACCAGCTGGGCGCAGTGGTGCACTCCTGTTCTTTGTTTTGTGTTTTGGTACCAGGGTAAACCCAGGGGCACTCAACCACTGAGCCACATCCCCAGCCCTATTTTGCATTTTATTTAGAGACAGGGTCTCACTGAGTTGCTTAGTGCCTGGCTGTTGCTGACTGGGATTACAGGCATAAACCACAACACCCAGCTAGTGGTATACTCCTGTAATCCCAGGGACTTAGAAGGCTGTGGCAGAGGGGAACACAAGTTTGAGGCCAGCCTCAGCAATTTAGCAAGGCCCTAGGCAAATTAGCAATACCCTGTCTCAAAATAAAAAATAAAAAAGGACTGAAGATGTGGCTCAGTAAGTAGTAAAATACCTCTAAGTTTAATCCCTAATACCGCATCAACCACCCCCCAGAAAAAAAAATAATTAGCACCCTATATATGTGTCTTCACTTAATTTAATCTTATAACAATTCTAGGATGTGAGGATTTTTATCTCCATTTTTCAAGTGAGATGGAGGCTTTTATTCAGTGCATAGTAGAGCTCAGACATGGACCCAGGCTATCTAACTACAGCTCTTTTCACATGGCTGCCTACTGCCCCACAGGCCCGAATTCCACCGCATTCTGAGTTTGTCAGCTTCCATCTGAGCAATGATTATGGAATGGTGCATTGTATTCTTTTATTTTGTTTTCATACTTTTTAAATTCTGATAAAGTTTAAGATTCACAAGAAGTTTCTAACATAGTACTGAGAGGGGAGAGGAAGAGGTTGATCAATAGGTACAATGTTATTGTTCAATAGGAAGAAAAAATTCTAGTGTTCTAAAAGTATAGCAGGGTTAAGTACAATGAACTTTTAAGTTTCTCAAATTGTTGGAAGACAGAAGTATGAATGTACTTACCATAAACAAATGATGAAAGTTTAAAGTCATGGGTGCCAATTATTCTGAGTTGATTATTACTCAATGTATACATGAATCAAAACACCATACTGTATCTCAAAAACATGTACAAATATTATGTGTCAAACTACTGAGAGTTTATTTTCTGTGTACTCTTTGTCCAGGTTCCCCCAATGATAATAAATATAGTACACTATCAAAACCAAGAAACTGACGATGGTACAATAGTATTAACTGACGCAATTTTTTTTTTTTTTTTTTGAGAGAGAGAGAGAGAAAGAAAGAGAGAGAATTTTTTAATATTTATTTTTTTAGTTTTTGGCAGACACAACATCTTTATTTATATGTGGTGCTGAGGATCCAACCCAGTGCCACACGCATGCCAGGCAAGCACACTATAGCTTGAGCCACATCCCCAGCCCTGATGCAAATTTTTTATTAGTACTTTCTCTGGGGGGAGTGGGGACACAGGTACCAAGGATTGAACCCAGGGGCATTTAACCACTGAGTCACATACCCAATCCTTTTTATGTTTTATTTTGATAGGGTCTCACCATGTTGCTTAGAGTCCAACTTGCTGAGGTTGGCTTTGAACTCGTAATCCTCCTGCCTCAGGCTCCTGAACTACTGGGATTATAGGCATGAGCCACCAAGTCCAGATCTCTATTAGTATTTAAGTGTTAATATGTAACATGTACCTCAAAAATCAGCATCATCACTTGGGAGGCTGAGGCAGGAAAACTGCAAGTTCAAAGATAGCCTCAGCAACTTAGTGAGGCCCTAAGCAACAGTGAAACCTGTCTCAAAATAAAAAAAGGCTGGGGATGTGCCTCAGTGGTTAAGTACTCTTGGGTTCAATCCCCAGTATTTAAAAAAAAATAAAACAACAACAAAACTCGCATTATCATCACTAAAGATATGCTGGACCCTGATGTCAAATGTGTCCCCATTCATACCAAGTTTGTTACAAATAAGATCTGCCTTCTTTCAGTTTGAACAATGTCTTTCCAAGCAAGAATTCCTTCCTTTCTCTTCCCATTTACTCCTTCCTCTATCTCATCTCTCAGCTTGGTTTTGCCAAGAGGTATCACATCCTAAGATTACTAATAAACTGTAGATTGTTCACCTGAATATAGCTAAGGAGCAAGAAGTTCAGGTCCAAAGAATAAGATTCATATGCAAAAATGAACTGCTGTGCTTTCAGAGAGGAAAACTGGGCCAAAATGTTAAAAGGATATGATTGAGAGATTGAGGATTGTAACTTGGGAGACTGAGGGAAAAGTTGTACTGACCTTGGCTCAAAATGAAAAACAAAAACGACTCAGGATGTAGTTCAGTGGTAAAGCACCTCTAGATTCAATCCCTAGTACCAAAAAAAAACCAAAAAACAAAAAACAAAAACCTGCTCCCATATAATGTGCCCAGGAATCAAACTGGTAAAGTAAAGGCTCCTGCTGGGGACAGAGAAGCACTCTTTACCAACTGTGGAGCTCACAAACTCAAAAGGATCAGAGAGGCTTCTATGGTTCTTTGTGCAGCCCCAAACTACTGCTTACAATTCTACCACTCAGAGTGATCTATTCACCCTTCTCCCAGATCCTGCAGTCCTTCAAGCTCATTGAATTTCTTTTCAAAGAAACTAGCTCACACTGAACTATGTAGGAAAAAGCAGTTACAATAGACCAGGTGTATCAAAGCCCTGCGTTCCCAAACTCACTTAAATTCCAGACATTTGGTGATCTCCTTCTGCAGGTGCATCACCTCATACAGCAGGTTCTGTAGTTGCAGGTGATAGGCGTCTACTTTCTGCTTAGCCTGAAGGAAAGACAAGGCTGAAGGTGAGAGCAGGTTAAGTTGGGGTGGAACAAAGCATCTGCAAAGTCAGAAAAGGGGAAAAGGAGATAGAGAAGGGGATGAGGAAAAGCAGGAAGGAGGATTCATTAAATCTTTCAACTCTACCTCATGGGTCTGATCCCTTCCTTTCTTCAACCTTATGTGGGCTAATCGGTTAAGCTTCTTTAGAGTCATGAAATGTACACAGCTTTGGATCCTTCGTTCTTCAATTTCAATTGCCTGTGGGCAAAGAAAAAGGTAAAGACCACTAAGAATAGGTGCTGCCGACCCATCCCCATTCAGGACCAAAGGAAGACACCAGGGGGAGCTCTAAACCACAGGTACTGTCATGAGGGAAACACCAACAGAAGGGATGACTGTACAAAGGAAGTGCCTAAGGTTCCCAGGCAGAAAAGCAATTTCTACTTAGACTGAAGTGACAGGAATTAAAGATAGACCAGGTGCAGCCAATACACGATTAATAGCTTTCCCTAAGATCCTAAAGAGAACTTGATAATAGTAGCGTTGTGACTCAAAATCTGACCTCTATCAATAGCATTACAGAATAATTTAAGTGATAATAACAAAAGTACAGTCATAAAGTTTGGCTACAATAAAACAGATATGAGTAATAACTTTAGTAATGTTGGCCAGCTTAAGCACAAATAAGATCCCTGGGGAAAAGATGAAAAGTATTTTTTAATTTATCTAGTTTTTAGACACATTACTTAGTTTTTCTGCCACTAAAGTCCGGTTTGTTCATTTAACATTAACGAAAACTTCATTTTTGGTCTCTACCAATTTACTTATGCATACTCATGCTATCACATCAAGGGAATTGATATGTACTATCATTTATCAGCACTAAGCAAAAATGCTGGCTACTTATGCAATAAATGTTATGTCAAAGAAAGATCAAATCAAAGTTTTAAAAAAATAATTATCCTGTACATTCATTACCATAATGGGTAATCAGGTAATGATGACAGGTTCCAATTAATTAATAGGCAGCTCTGGAGTCTGTAGGCTCCAACCACCTGATTATGGCTAGAACAGAAGATCAAGATCAAGAAGGGCCCCAGTAGGTGCAAAAGTTACCCCTCTGCACAGACCTACCAGGTTCAAGTCTGCCTGGTTCCATTCCTTACCATATCCTTGCCACCCCGGCTCTTCAGATCCTGGATCTCGGCCATCAGCCTCTGTAGCTCCTGGCACGTGTACTTATACAGCTCATAGTCTCTGCCAGGGTCCCGCAGGTCCACCTCAGCCTCCTCGCTATAGTATTTACCTTCCTGTGAAGGCAAGGAGAGAGTCCCCAGGTGAGAAATGAGTCTCCCTGTTGGGACTAGAGACACTTGACTGAGATCTCTTGTTAAACATGTACAATTAACAATGAAGCCCCAAATTAGGTCACTAAAGAAAATGGTTCTCATATCAAATGTTTTTATTTTCAAAACAGAAACTTCTTTTTCTTATTACAAAGTATGCATATTTGGTGTCTAAGAACAGAAACATCACAAAGTTCAAGGTCAGTCTCAGTAACTCAGCAAAACCCTAAGCAACCTAGTGAGGCCCTGTCTCAAAATAAAAAAATAAAAAGGGCTGGGGATATGGCTAATGGCAGTGTTTAATCAATCCCCAGTACCAAAAAAAAAAAAAAAAAAGAAAGAAAGAAATAACTTCCTATAATTTCACTTTCCAGCCCCAAACAACTCCATTGTGAATACTATGAATAAATATATATTTTTAAGCAAGACAGAATCATCATTGTCCGTGTTATTCAGTGAAACTTCTCATAAAATAAATATAGATTTCTATCAAAACAGCTGTATGGGTCTGGGGTTGTGGTTCAGTGGTACAGCGCTTGCCTCATACATGTGAGGCACTGGATTCAATCCTCAGCACCACATAAAAGTTAATTAATTAATTAATTAAAGGTATTGTGTTCATCTACAGTTTAAAAAAAAAAAAAGTCCACTGTAGAGATAAGCCAGAAATCACTTAATCAAATTTCTACTGATAGATATTTAAATGGTTATAGCAAGCTTTGGCAGACTATAATATCAAAACTAAGACAAGAATGCCATAATCAAAACTCAAAAAAAAAAAAATAAGGTCCTTCAGCAATCTGATTTCCTAAATCAGAGAAAAGCATTGTTTTTATCTTTCATAATATTCTTTCTTATATGTATCAAGACTCATACTGAACAATGAGTTTTAGATTGCAAAAAAGAGGTTTAATATTTGCACCTGTTTATAAGTTTGTCCATGAGTTAAATGAAAAACACACAAAAGCAATATATATGTGCATATATACATACACATGCATACATATGTGTATGCATGTATGCACATATACATATACACACATATATATATAATACAACACAAAACTATCACAAAGTGCTAAAAGCATTGTTTTCTGGTTTTGATTTGTGTGTGTGTGTGTGTGTGTGTGCTGGGGATTAAAACTAAGCCCTTGCATATGCTAAAATAGGTTCTACCACTGACCTATACCTCAGCCCATACTGTGTTTTAATTGAAATTTTTTTAAATATACATACATATATTTTAGTTGTAGATGGACACAATACCTTTATTTTATTTGTTTACTTATATGTGATGTTGAGGTTTGAACCCAGGGCCTCACATGTGCGAAGCAAGCACTCTATCACTGAGCCACAACCCCAAGCTAGTGTTTCATGATTCTACTTAAAACAAACAAGCAGACAAACAAAAAACCAACTAGCCAAACAAAAACAGCCAAGTCATGAATTGGCTTGAAAGACTCAAGGACAGAAAGACAAAAAGAAGTACCACCTGTTGACCACAAGAGCTCTCGGGCCACAGAACAGGTTCTGTGGGTTTAAGGTTCTGGTACCATCTTAGTAGCATACTTGGGGATGTAACATCTCTGAAGCGCCAGAGCTATGCGGTAGTCAAGCTCCTGTCTTCTGACCATCAGGAAATTGGAGACATACATCACACTGTGTACGTACCAATGATGTCTAATACAGGATTGCTGGTTCTTGGGATGCTCAGCTAAACCTGATGTGGACACACAGATTTTATGGGGCCACAGAAATTCTAGTCACCTGGTCAAACAGAGACCACCATGGGACTGTCCCTGGTAGATACAAACCTGAGCTGACACAAACCCCTATGTAAGTGCTTGACCATAGCTGCAATTTCTTTTTTTTTTTTTTTGGGGGGGGGGTACTAAGGATTTAATCCAGGGGCACTTTACCACTGAGTTATATTCCTAGACCTGCTTTTTTTTTTTTTTTTAAATTTTGAGGCAGGTCTCACTAAGTTGCTGAGGCTAGCCCTGAACTTGTGTTCCTCCTGACTAAGCCTCTGGAGTCACTGGAAATACAGGAGTGTACTACTGTGCCCAGCACAAGCTGCATCTCTCAGCACCGTGGCAACCTGGCTGATCTCACCTGCTCTGTGTCAGATCGATTCCGCTTTCCTTCAGCTGGAGCTCCATCACTTCGGATCACTTTGGGCTTCCGTTTTTTGCTGGATTCTGATGACATGGTTGTTCTTTAAGGTTAGGAGAAAACAAGAGAGAGCTGGTAAGAGGAAAAAGCTTTCAGGATTTTTTCTGAAGTAAGAATACTAAGTCTAACTAGAAACTCTAGTTATTTATAGATGTAGTAACTCAAGAAAAGCCACTCAACCTCTAAAGCTTGAGTGTAATCCTCTGTAAAACAGGGACTCATCTTTCAGCATGTCCAAAATGAACCTGTCTCACATAAATCCGTTCCCATTACCGCTGACTGGTCACTATGTGGTGGGCCTTGATCTAAGCACTTTATGGGTATGTTCTCATTTGATTACTATTAAAAAATTTTCAGATAAGAACCACTAACATTTTACAAATGAGAAAACTGAGAATTGCAAAGGCAAATATCTTGCCTATCCCACAGCTAGTACACTAAAACTTGGACCAATGTCAAAGCTCTTTTTTAAAAAAATATTAATTTTTTAGTTGTAGTTGGACACAATATGTTTATTTTATTTATTTATATGTGGTGCTGAGAATCGAACCCAGGGCCTCACACATGCTAGGCGAGTGAGCTACCCCAGCCCAATGTCAACGCTCTTGACAACTATAGTATTAGGCCTCCTAGTCTTGACAGCATTTCATCTGGTGATGCCATGATGGCTGAACCTAAAATTTAAAGAACAGAATGCACATTTCAGGGGGTTCTAGGCTCACAAAACATCCTCCCTTGTAGTCATCACCTCAGCCTCCTCAGGTAGGCAGCACTGTCCCTCTTAGTTAGCTGCCACACTTATTGGGGGGAGCCAACAGTGTGTTGAGGCAGAGTCAAAAGTGCACTAACTAGAATCTCCGCTCTACTATTTTATGGCTTCAAGTTCTGGGTCAAGTCACTTCACTTTTTGCAGGATCCGTTTCCTCACAAATCAAATGAGAATAACAGTCCCTATATCAGGGCTCATGGGGAGGGAAGGCATTAACACAAAAGACACTCTACTAGGAAAGATGATAAACTTGAGCTGGGGCTGTGGTGCATGGGTGATATTACATAACAATGAATACCCAAGGAGAAAATTAATCCCTTTCAATTCTTTTTTGAAACTTCCAATTGCTTCAAGAACTTATATCTTCCATAATTTATTTTTGACATCTATGAATACCAAGGTTCACTTGTTTAAAAAAAAAACAGGACTTTATCTCCAAGCCTTAGACAATGAAATCTGGGCAGAATTTGTTAACAAAGGCCTGTTTTCATTATATTAAATATATTTGTATCATTATCTTCTGCATAAAACAAATGAAAGCAATTTTCCAATTTTCATGGTAAAATAACTTGACATTTTTTCTCCAAGTATTTATGTTTAAAAAGTGAAACGGGGCTGGAAGTGTAGCTCAGTGGTAGAACGCTTGCCTAGCATGCCTAAAGACCTAGGTTCGAGCCCCAATAACCACCGCTCTCAAATAAATAAAGTGACTGGAATAAAAATATTTAGTAAACAAATTGTACAAGTGGCAAACTGAATTGGTAAACTCCACAAAGGTGGGACCCGAAATCCCAACACTGGAACACAATAGAATGCCCAGCACACAAGACTGCACAACAAACGTGAGCTGTAACCACCATCATTAACATCATGAGGCTACAAAGCAGGGCCTGAGGATGCTGCAGCAAACATTTTCCAGATGAGGATACAGCTCGGAGCCCGGGGACCAGGAACCCCAGGAGGAGAGGGCGGATAATCTGGTTGGTACTCCAGCCCAGAGACACCCCTTGCGCTGTCTGCACCTCAGTCCAGAAGCGCCCAACCCGGTTCCGCCGTGCCGCGGGTCACACCACCCTCTTCCCTTCCTCACCACACTGCTTCACCGACCGGCCCCGACTGGACTGCGAGCTACTTCCGGCCGCCAGGCAATCTAAGCGCATACACCATGGAGAAGCGGAAGAAAGGAAAGAGCGGCCTGCCGGAAGTAAGGAGCGGAGACCGGAAGCAAAGGCGAGGGCCCCGGAAACCCGCGGGTGCGCGTGGGAGGAAAGGAAGTGGCGGTTCTTATCAGGGGTTGCCCCTTCTCGCTCTCGGAAACCGGGTAACTTTGGCTGTGCGGTTAGGCTCTTCGGTGACTAGTTGTTTCCCCAAAGCGTAAAGCAGTCGCGCTACTAGTGGGCGCTCACTTCCCAAACTGTTTAAATAACTGTGATATGCAGAAGATTAGCACAAGAGCATGGCAGTGTCTAATTCGGTCCCTAGTGAATTTGCCTCCCAAATAGGGCCTTTCCTTTTTTCAATGGCACTAGGAATTGAACCCAGGAGCATTTTGCCTCTGAGCTACATCCCCAGCCTTTCAACTTATTTTGAGACCTGGTATAAGTTGCCAAGGCCGGCCTCCAACTTGTGATCCTCCTGCTTCAGCCTCCGGAGTCTCTGGAGTTATGGGCGCGGGCCACTTCACCCTCACTCAGCCATAACCGGACTACGACCATATTCCCCATAACACAATACACCAATGAAGGTGGCAATTCAGGGAGGGTAGAATTCAATTTTACACTGTTTTTTCCACAAGTGTGCATCACCTATTTCTCCATGTTAGTCTTGATTTGCCCAGTTCAGAATCACAACTTTTACGCAGATTTTGGATGCATCAAGTGTTTTCTATCCCCAGCATGAATTGTAAGGGTCCAGGATTTTTGGTGTAAATCCCATTTATCTGGAGCTACATTCAATATTCATTCCGAATTCTATGTTGTGCCCTTGGGTAAGGATGAAGATGCCCTCCTTGAGAGTAGCTCCAGAACACAGTACCCTCCAGAGAATGGATCACCAGGTGAAACTGAGAAGCCTGCCAGTTCTGCTTTGGGCTGAAATTACTTGCAAATGAGGAAAAGACACCATAATTTGTAGTAAATATTTAATTGATTCCATCAGCAACTCCAGCGCATTTTCCTGGTAAGGAGGCAGACTCAAGCTACCCAAGGGTTCATGAGGTATTGGGGTCACTGAGGAAGTCCCCAGAGTCACTGACCCTACTCCACAGGCTTCAGGCCCTGTAAAATAAGAGTTGGGCTGACAGAATGTCAAGTAAGGGGAAAAGAATGCTGGATGAGGGAAATACAGGCCCTGTCCTGTAGTTTTGCCTGCAAGAAGGAGGGAGGGCAGGATAAGGGCTGGAACTACATATTTAAGTTCTCAATCCCAGATAAGCTTCTCTATCTAGTATTATGGACCTTCTTGCCAATTGGTCACCTTTATTCTGTCTTCCCAGTTCTGTTTTACAAATTGTGCAAGTTCTCTTGAGTTCTAAGTTCTAGTTTCTGGGTTTCTGTTTCATGTCTGTCTCTTGCTCCCAAATTAATCCTGCTCCAATCCCTTTTCCCAGCCTCTCCGGATAGAGTCTGGATTTCATTCTAACCTTTAAGATTTGAGGGTTTATGGCAATACCAGGCTTTTCCCCAACAAGTGGGACTTGACTCAGTCTTTGCTTATGCAGTAAGGATGGCACAGTGGAGATCAGGGAATTCCTCAAAGCCTGGCCTGGTCTGACCTCCTCCCTTCACACTACCTTCTGTGCAACTATGCTAACCCAAGGGTTTCCATGCTGATACCTGGGACTGGTGGCCTTGATTATGAGGAATCTCGGGGAGAAATGTGAGAAGTCCTAAAAGGTTGCTATTCTTCATTTAGGGAAATTAGAAACTACCAGCAGAGGGGAAAGAGGTGAGTGGAAAGGCTTAGGGAAGGATGGATCTGGACAGAGCTTAAGTCCTCAGAGCCTTGTCATCTTTGTCTGAGCTGTGCACTACCCTTCAGAGTCTTCCCAGAGCCAAGAGAAATCAGGACTGGGAACTCCTCTGTCCTGGCTGCCTTGAGGGAGAAGGGGAAGGAGCTAGAGCCATCAGCAGCATCATTGTAGAGGCGAAATCTTCAAGGGGATCATGATCCGAGACTCCATGTGTCGCACCAAGGGGACTGTGGAGAAAGGAAGAGGTTGGGATAGGGGTGTAGACAAGCCAACAACCCCTCATACACACATGGACACACAAGCCGTTGAAAGAAGAGGCAGCTCAGATGCTGAAACAGGAAAGACTCATTGCCCTCCTAAAAAGGCGGATTGAAAGCATCAGGTCTCCCAAATTATGGAATGAGACAGGACTTTCAGGGTAATGAGATGAACATTTTTATTGTTCTGCTTTTTGGTACTGGGGATTGAACCCAGGGGCACTTTACTACTAAGTTACCTCCCAGTCCTTTTTAGTTTTTTATTTTGAGACAGGTTCTTACTAAATTGCTGAGGCTGGCCTCAAACTTGTGATCCTTCTGCTTCAGCATCCAAAATTGCTGGATTATAGGCGTGCACAATGGTGCCCAGCAGAAAAATTAAAAATTTACCTTCGTGTATATGTGGAAAAATAAGTGGCATAGGGCTAGGGATTTAGCTCAGTGGGACAACACTTGACTAGCATGCATGAGACCCTGAGTTCATCCCTAGCACCACAGAAACAAAAAAACCGAAAACTATCATAGTATAAAAATGCTTTCACAGATATTATTGCTAAGGACAAAGTAGGGAGATTTAAAGAAAGATATCAAAAAATCATTGTAAAGGTGGGGGTGTAGCTCAGTGAGAGTGTGTATGCTTATGAGCATGTGCAAGGTCCTAAGTTTAATTCTTGGCACTAAAACCATTTTTTTTTTTTTTTTCAGTGCTGGGATTGAACCCTGGGCCTGTGCATGCAAGGCAAGCACTCTACCAGCTGAGTTATATCCCCAGCCCTAAGACAACTTTTTACAAAAACTGGTAGGCCAGGCACAGTGGCGCACACCTATATTCCTAGTGGTTTGGGAGGCTGAGGCAGGAGGATGGTGAGTTCAAAGCCAGCCTCAGCTATTTAGTGAGGTCCTAAGGAAGTTAGCAGGACGCTGTCTCTAAATAAAATATTTTTTAAAAAAAAGGGCTGGTGATGCAGCTCAGTGGTTAAGTGCCCTTGGGTTCAATCCCTGGTATAAAAAAGAAAAAAAAAATTGTGGTAGTATAATGGAGAACAAAAGCTGTGAGGGGATCCTCAAGGTGCTGAGGTTTGAAAAACACTGAGTTAGTTCAACCACCTCATTTTACAGATGGGGAATCTGCAACCCAGAGAGAAGAGGGTCAGCTCAAGGTTACTCAGGAGGTTAGACTCTTTCCTCCTGCTCAGAGCTTTTCAGACTCTAATGTGCATACAAATCACCTGTAATTTCTTGTTACAGTGCAGATTCTGATTCAATAGGCTGGGGGAGGCTGATGCAGCATTTCTTACAAGTGTCCAGAGGATGCCAACATTGTCAATTGGAACCACACTTTGAATAGCAAGGCTTCAGCTACCTTTTTTGGAAGAGACATTCTTAGCCAGGAATGGTGCATGCCTCTAATCCCAGTGACTCAGGAGGCTGAAGCGTGAGGATTACAAATTCAAGCCCAGCCTCTACAATTTAGGGAGACCCTAAACAACTTAGTGAGACCCTGTCTCAAAATAGAAAATAAAAAGACCTGGGGATGTGACTCAGTGGTTAAGCACCCTTGTTCAATCCTTGGTCTCTGCCTCCCCCCGAAAAAAAGACATTGTTCCTGACACTAGCTGTTAAGTGTGGAAGCTTAATTATGCTCAAGAGAAGGGACAGGCTCTTATTTATGAGGCTCCACCCACCCACCACAGTTCCCCACAGATAGTCAACATCTACTGACTCTAGGTGGTTCTCTGGGGTTCTAGTGGCAAACACCATGAGCAAAAAACTTGCTTAAAAACTTTACTGAATGATTTCTCTATGCCAGAGTCAGGACATAGCACTTTTTAGCCAGACATGATCCCAGTGACTTGTGAGGCTAAGGTAGGAGGAGACACAAGGCCAGCTTCAGCAATTTAGTGAGGCCTAAACAACTTAGATGAGACCCTGTTTCAAAATAAAAAATAAAAAAGGGCTAGGGATGTGGCTCAGTGGTTAAGTACCCCTGGGTTCAATCTGCTGTACAAAAGGGGTGAGGAGCACTTTTCATACATTAGTTCATGAAGTCCTCTCTGTAGCCATCTGAGGGAAACTAGTACCATCACTCTCTCACAGATGAGGAAGCAGCCTCAGGCACTCAGCTATAACACCAACACATCTCCATCCCCCGAGAGTACTCACTTAAGACTGCTTATATCATGTGGAAAGTACCACTATGATAAAAACACACAAACTTATTATTTAAAAGTGAATTCTGAAGCCAGGCACAGTGGCATGTCCTTGTAATCCCAGTGACTTGGGAGGCTGAGGCAGGAGAATCACAACGTCAAAGCCAGCCTCAGCAATTTAATGAGACCCTAAGAAACTTAGTGAGACCTTGTCTCAAAATTTTAAAAAAGAAAAAGGGGTGGGGATGTAGCTCAGTGGTAAAGCACCCTTGGGTTAAATCCCCAATACCAAAAAAGAAAAAAAAGAAATGAATCCCCCAATTACTGGATGTGAAACTAGATCTCTTTGTAGAGGGGATTGCATCCTTTCATTCTCAGACAGGGCTCCCAGCAGATGACCTCCAAAGGTCCCAGTGACTGCCAGAATGGTGCTCACCTGTATAGTAGACATTTTCATCCCAGCCCCTCTTCCTCCAGGCAGCATTTCGAGTCTCCTCCCGAGACTGCAGGTCTTTATAAGCTGTGGGAAAGGCACAGAGGATCTGATCCCTTCTCCAGCACAGGGTCCCCTTTCCACTGTGCCAAATTCTGCCCAGCTTTTTTTTTTTTCTTCCCCAGATGCCTCCCTTGGACTATTAGCAAACAATGTCTACTTTGTCAATCTTATCCAACCAGATGTACAAAAAAGATTAATTTCAGATGACCACAAATACTGCTATTAGAAAAGAGACAGGGAGATAAAGAAGACAAGAAAAGCCTCTCTGAGGGGGTGAAGTGGAAACTCAGAGCTACAGGAGGAGGAGCTGGCTGTGAATTGCTGGGGGATGGCATTCTTAAGGGAAAAGCACTTACAAAGGCCCTGCAGTGGGGAATGGCCTTCAGGGTTTAAGGCGTGGACATGTCAATTCCAAAATGTATATGTTTAGCCCCAAACTCTCCTGTGGATTCCAGACTGCATTGCAGTGCCCATGTGACATCTTAAGTATGTCAGTATCTTAAATGTAACATTCTGAGGGCCAAAATTACACTCCTGACTCCTCCTCCTTGCTCTTCTCCTTGCTCCACCACAGATGATTCATTCTCAAGTTCCACTGGTTGAACCTCTAGACTAATGAATCTGTGGACATCTCAGCAGTCCACTGCCACTTCCTGAGGCTAGGCCCCATCCTTGTCTGCATGAACTGATGGAGCATCTCCTGAGGCCCAGCTTTCTCTTTTGCTTCCCTACCAAACACCCTCAGTAACGCACACAGCAGCCAGAGGAATCCTGTTAGAAGGCTGCTCCAGCCTCCCACTCCATTTATGATAAATCCCAGCTCTTCTCTGTGGCCTGTAAGGCTCAGCCTGATCTGGTGTCTGTTGTCTCACTTTATTCCCCACTCATTCCATACCAGTCTCCTTTCTCTACCTCAAACCTCAAAGGCCTTTCCTCATTGCATGGCCTTTGCACATGCTGTTCTCTCCATTCACAATGCAATTCACAGCTGGCTCCTTCTCACCCTTTAATTCTGAGCTTACATTTACCCCTCAGAGAGGCCTTTTCTACCCAAGCCCATATAGGTTCTCCGTGTTTTTTCCTATCATCTCCCCCAGTCTCTTTTCTACAAATAATATTTGTAATCATCTGAAATGAGTTACTTTGGCTTGTTTACATCTGAAGTAATGTCTCCCTCTACTAGTCTGTAAGTTCCACAAGGGTACTAATGTATCCCTCTGGTTTACAGAGTGCTAATGGATAAAGGGGACAAACAGAAAGCTCCTGGAAGGTCCCTGACCTACCCCAGAGGTGGTGCACAACGTAGAGCTCTCCTATCTGTGAGAAGAAGCCGCCTACTGCCTCCTGGTTCTCCTGTCGGTACTTGATGGCCCGAGCCCTAGAGATGGCAGAGAGTGTGGGGCAGGAGCCAGTCTGGTGCACAGGGCCTCCTGAGCTGGACCCAGGCTGATTCCTTGGCCACACCTCACAGCAGAGGGCTGAGGTGGGGCCCGTGGCTCTCAGAGATGCTGAGGGAATAGGATAATGGAGATACAGATGCTGGCTGCTTTCCTACAAAGGGAAACCTCACCATTTACTAGGAGATCTGCATCTCCTCATAGGATCTTTCTCCAGGATCTGGGAGGGACAGAGGATGCTGGGTTTCCTGTGACATGGCCCTGGGAAAGTGGCCCACCAGAAGCCGTGCTGGGGCAGGACAGCAAGCATTCCCCACATTCCCAGCCCCGATGCCACCACTCACCAGTTGTTCCCCCACTCAATCATGGTTCCTGGCTGAAAGAGAACCAGAAAGAGGAGGGGAATGAGCCCCCACCTTGGATTCCTAGCATCATAACATGGCAGAGATGAAAAACTGTCCTATCTCCCTAGCTCCGGGAGCAACTTGGAAATAGGCCCCATTCATGAGCCCTGACTTACACCTGGAATGCAGGTACAGACATGAATGTACACACCTCTGCTCCAAGCACATAGGAAGGAAAAGGCCAGAAATACAGACTATGTGCTGGGGCACATGGCCCACCCACCTAGGGGCATCCATAGAGCAACATGCAGCAGGGAGGGTGGGGGACAAAGGGGATCTTTTGGGAGGGAGATACCTTGAGCTTGTATGTTCTCAGTT